GCCTTCTGAAGCTAGGCTGTCAGCGGTAGTCGGGTGGCCTAGTGGTTAGTGGTGCGGTCTGTGAATCGGAAGTGGAAGGGGCGTTGTTGATGGTTCGACTCCCCACAGTGCCAAAGTTTTGCTTTTTCTCTATTGTCATTTTCCTGTGATCGTGCACTCCTGCGCATGCATATAATGCGGATTTATGTTCGTTTTGAGATCCTACGACTGCAAATTCGTATTGGTCTCTCACGAACTTGTGTGTGCATCGATAGAAATTTTATAATTCATAAACAAATTGCCCCCGGAAGGCTTGGAGAAGGGCTAACGTGGAATAGGAGGGGTCCGTTCTAGAAATTACCACGGAAACCGAGGTTCTCCCTCGCAGGGCAAGTCTCACACAACTTTGCGTTTTTCGCAGCTGACCTAGCCATCGGCAGTAGACCCAGCCAGAATTATGACCAGAAGTCCATCCTGCCAGTGTTTGACAAGGAGGAGAACTAATGACATAGTCATTGCTGTCTTCTCACCCATCGCTTGAGTGTCTACCATTGTCTATTACGGGGAAGGATCTCTCATTCCGTAAGAAATGACAAGAAGGTCGCCTCCAAATTGTTTACCAAAGAGCCTGACGGGCTACTGACCCATGGTCCAACTGTTCGAAGTTAGGACGAAATCTTAATTTTCCCTGAAACTTTCGGGCTAGGGGTTATTCGGCGTCCTGATTACGAATATTCTATTAGTTTTTGGCGTAAACGTCATTTGAATCCGCTATGACGCCATTGGGCGCTACAACGGCGCCGTTTTGGTGTCGCAACTTTCTCCACCAGTTTTTTAGTCAATAATCTACGTATGAAGGTTGGTGTTGCTCCTAATTATAGATATGGCATCTGCTATTCACGTTGACTCCCTTTTTCGTGAGTTTTGGAACGCCAACAGAAAATGCAAAAAATTGTCACTGGGAGGATCCGAACCACGGACCACTTCATAACCCCTTTTTTGGTATTCAGAAGGTCGCTCAGGAAAAATGAACTACGGTTCAATGTTCCATGCATGTACCCCTATATCATGCAAAAAACCGTTTTGAGAAAGCTTGGCATTTCCTGAAAGACCTTCCTCGTTTAGCACCGAAATTTAAGTACAATAATTCAAAGCCTACAACGTGTTGCCGAAAGCTGGACCGCAAATCCTCCAAACGGACTCGCGAGGCAATTTTTAGATTCGATTATTTTGAAATTGGTTCTAGAATTTGTTAGAGAGCTCCAATCTCGTAACCTCATATGCGAGGTAGAATTGTAAAAATTGAAGATGGAAAAGTTAAAAGTTTAAGATTCATATCGAGACTCCCTGAAGAGGAGGAGGTCATAATCAGACGAGTACATAACTGAAGCCGTCCAAGAATAGGTAACTTTATTAGACTAACGTTTCGCTTCTTCGCCTTCGTCAGAGCCTGAAAAAGTCAAAAACAAATGCGACTGACCGCTCAAACGGTTCCGCACACACTACAACAACGAAACGGGCGATAGTTAGCAACATGTTCAATACACAATAGGCTTTACGACTACCTATGCGACACCCCTGACTGCGTGGTTTGCCCAGGTGGCAAGCCAGGTGATTGCATGAGGGCAGGGGTGATCTATTCAATACGTTGCCTGGCCTGCAATAATGAGTACATAGGGGAAACAGGCCGTCCTCTGCGTGTACGGGTGAAGGAGCACTTGGACGGGTTGCGAAGATCACAAATTCAGACGCCGCTTGGAGTTCACCGCATGCAATACCATGACAATGTTGATTTCGGGATCACAGTGTCCATTCTGGCGCATGAACCCGAAATCGCGGCGCGAAAACCCTGGAGGCGTTTTGGATTTCGGCAAGAGACCCTCAAATCAATAGAAAAGAGGAGTGTTTAGCCATTACCCGTGAACTCGCGCCCTTCTCCGACCTCTGCGGGTTTTGATCTACATGAGGTCAGGTCGAGGTTGAGGTCGAGAGGGTGGAGGTGGTGGTGTTCAGTAAGCACAAGCTAAGTCCTTCGAGGGTGGTCGCCCTCGCGTCACGGCGGCGTTGATCAAGGTAGGCCTGGTAGCATATCTACCGTTAGGTGGTTTACTAAGATATGGAAATAGTCTTCAGTATTGTGGAGGCGTTTGAGCGGTCAAGTCACATTTGTTTTTGACTTTTTCAGGCTCTGACGAAGGCGAAGAAGCCGAAACGTTAGCCTAATAAAGTTACCTAATCTTGGACGGCTACAGTCAAGTACTCATCTGATCCAACAATGCCGATCTGGAGGATAATCATTTGGAATCGGACCACCGTGACGACTGATCCTGTTTGGTAAAGAGCTAAGGCTACCCACCCCCTCCGGTACCACGTGACACCTATTACATCTTACCAGTTTTAGTCGCCTTATGTTCCATTGGCAATTAAGCTCCTCTACCACAGAATTAAACCATATGTTTCCCCACGACAAGATGCTTAAGGGATTGGATTCCAAACAAAAAGATGAGGTATCAAGATAGATGGTGCAGCTCATTGTGCGCAAGCGGGAGTCGAACATATGCGGACACAATGGGAGATAATGTTTACACAAAGTAAAAGGGAGTGCCCGAGTACACTGGCGCAAATAGATGATGCATGATACTCACCAATGCTAGACTGTAAAAGGGCTTATCCAATCTCAGACGATTGTGCGCCGGCCACTCCAGACTGGTGTCGTGGCACGGCCAATGCCAATGGTTCGCAAAAAAGCTAAATGTGATGGCGACACAATTACGGACTATTCAAATGAAATCTACAAATACAAAAAACTATGTCACACTGCGAAACCTAGTCTTAAAAACATCAGGACATCAGAATCATAAGGAGATCGGGAAATGCGGTACATACAAACAGCAAAAAAATGATGACCAGGAATGGTACATCAACGAGGAATCGCGCAGGAATCGGCCGTAATAAATGAAATTAGGTACAAAAGAACGAAATATTTGACGGCAGAAACTCTTGGATTACATTTCCGTTGCAATTACATACCTGCTGACTATGCCCATTTATTACCGAAAAAAGTCAATGGTACAAGGCGTAAGTGAATATCGTCCTAAACCCCGCTCTCGTTCATTCCTGTTTCGTCAAGTTTTGACTAGATGGTACTTGGGAAAGCAATTACTTAACTGAATCGCTTCAGAGTTTGCTCAAAACTATGTGGATTTGAGAGGTTTCAGAAAGGCTGGCCGCTTTTCCGCAAAACATATTTATAGACCAGTACCGAGAGAGACAAAACGGCGCCACAAAACTTAACACACTCTTGCCGTATTCCGAGATTAAACAAAGCGGAAGTATGTACAAGTGAAGTGAAGAATTACTTTGCTAAATAAATGAAGAATAGGAAAAGAACAAGACTGAATAGGAGAAAAATAGAAGAAAAACGAAAGAAAAAGTGAAATATAACACAGAACTGAATATTATGAGAACGAAATTTGCCTGGAAATTCTTCAACTAACTTAGAATCGACCCGAATCAACTTCACCGAAGAACTCCCACTCCAGCAAGACTTATCAAGAGCCGAAGAACGAAGCACTTCTGTTCGAGAAGGGGTTATATCTAAATGGCCCTCCCTCCATCCCATCTTCTGACCAAGGCCGAGTTTACTTGCTTAACAACCAGAAGGAACTTATCGCCACAACCTGGTTGTACCTAATAGCAAGTTGGATGATATTTAGACAAGTGCCCTTCATGCATCCACAGCACCTCCAAGAGGGCACAATCCTTTGTGCGCACTCCGATAGGAGAGGACATGCGAGAACAAGGACGATGGCTTTGAGTGAGGCTGCAGCTATTCGTCATCTATCGATGAAAAACCGACAGAAAACCACGAACTGCGGGCGTGCCATAATTTGAAAGATCTGAGTTCAGTTGATCGCACGCCGTTACGTCATATAAGCCCTCCGGCGCAATCCAACTTGCCGGGGACTCTCACCCGCCAGCGCGCTTTATCACTGCTAGTTGCGCCCGAAACGCTCTCCACACGAGCTACTTTAGCGATTCTAGTTATCAACAACTCGCTCACAACCTCTCTGAACACACCCAATTTGAATTAATCTGTTTGGCTACTGTTTTAAGATCGCTCCACACATACGGCACACTACGTCCTCCCTTATATAGCCACACCTAAAAGTGAGATCGGTTAGATCGTTTAAGCAGTTGAGAAGAGGTCAGCTTCCGAACGAGAGTGCCATTCAGTACAGTTAGAGCGGAAGTCAACGGATCTATAGCCTAATTCATGCACTAGGAGAAGGGGTCCCATTTTAGGTTCGGCCGTCGACACAAAATGACTGTTTTGGTTAATTGCTCGCGGCACCTTTGACCCCCCCTTCTCAATAACCTATTAACCTTTATCGGCTCTGAACAAGGGTCTTCCGCACAAATATTGCAACGGGAGCGCCAATCCCGGTCGGCGACCTTAGCTCTAGTCCAGGTAATTCACTCTAGCTTATGAGTACTACTTTTTTGGAATATTAGAGGCAAAGTATAGCTACAAAATGAGTAGATAACTATCACGAAACCGCGAGTTTTTGGAAGCAGGTGGCAAAGCCGATCCAAGAACATACGTATGGTCTAGAGGAAGTTTTATGAGGGAAACTGATAATGTTCGGCGAAAATTCTTTATAACTACCAGAGATAGATGCACGAAAAATGTTGGTGTGGAGAGAAAGTATCTGCCCAGGAAATACCATATGGCACTCGACTGTTTTCTGGCAACAACATTAACTCATCAACTTTCGACGTTTTATGTAAAGGAAATATAACTTGCGGTGGGGCGTCAGTTAGCAAGATGAACCAAGATGATACTATCATAATCCTTAGCTAGGAGAGACTAGAATCAGTAAGGATAAGCTACAATACTTTGCTTGTAGGAATTCCAAAGAAAGGTTTTCAAACAACGTCCAGACATGCGCTGGGCAACTCCCACATCAGTGCACTGAAAACCTTTCCAATGAAAAGTACATAGCTCAAGCTTTTACCTGCTCTGGCGGAACTGGATTGTTTAGGCTCATTCCGTTCAGTTGCCCGTTCAGATGTGACATTGTGTAGATAGGACGTGTATTTTCGGGATAGGACGAGTAGTTCGATGAAGTCTTTATCGCGGAGCCATTCGTGTATGAGAACGGCGTCGATGCCGTCATCGCTGGCGGCGGAAACGACGAATAGTTCGAGTTCTTAAATCAAATACTGACTTATCTTTGAGCCGATCCACTTTTGATGATTCCTAGAGTTCAACGACAAGTTTTTGGAAAGGCTCCTGCTGAGAATTTATCTTAAACTAATCTACATTCAACTTCGAGGCCGAAACAGTGATATAGCAGTTGCCGCTTTGGCTGATTGATTCGTCTTATTCGCGTGAACGCGTCTGGCGCAAATGTTGATTGAGGGCAAATTGCCCCAATTTGAGGTGCCTAGAATCAGTTCCAGGTCACAATTCGCCGTTGAACTGTTATGTAAAATTTTGGATGTTCCTTCAAGGCGGGCATTGAGGTATGCAATAAATTTTTCAGTTGCTAATTCTGACTAGAGGGCGGAAGTGGTGTAGTGGCAAGTGGCACGCTTACCACGCGAGCGGTCCGGGATCAAATCCTGGGTCGTGAGTCGCCCGGGCCAACCAAGCCTTCCATCCCTCCGGGGTCGGTTAATTGGTACCAGACTTGTCTGGGAGGAAAAAACACTGACTTGTACATCGGCTGGCCCCCGCAAGTCATTGTATAGGCCACATCGCATTCAAACGCCACTACGAATGTACAAATGGAAGTAGAATGCGTGCCGCATCCCAAAAGGGATTGATCAACGGCAAATGCTTTATCCTTATTCAATTGGCACGACGGAAAAAAAAAAAAACTGATGAAATGCCTCTGAGAAGGCTATTCTGCCGGCATTCACGTCGGCATTTGTGAGGAAACGGCAAGCGAAAACCTGGACGCTGAGAAAGAGATTAGATGGCGAGTGGACAGAGAAAACAGAGAGGAGTGAAACGTGATCGCTCGTGACCAATTTCAAGGTAGAGTGACGGTTGAGAGCAATCATAGCCTCCGCCAAGAAACCTCTTACCCTTTAGACGCCCCTTTAACCGAGCACGTTTGCGCGTTTGTGAATGGCCTACTTCATCTATGAAGAGGTCCTTCCTATCAGCTAGTCATGGAGGCGCTTTCAAAGAGGTAGCTAAAGATGAGATGAAAACCCCAATCCAAGATGGTCGAACAAACAAAATCTATCCAATTCATAGACGTCAAGCTATGCTTATGGTTGGGTACTAGCACAAGGTCTTAGAAAATGGTAACTCGAAATTCGGATCTGGAAATAATGCGACAAGCTCGTAAGACGCAAGATTAGTTAAAGAACGAAACAGAAATTTTGTTTGTATTTTTGAGTATGTTACGAAATGTGCGAAAACCTACCCGTCCAAGTGTGGCGTAGAAACTGCCGTTCTGGAACACGGGCGGAGGAGGAACGAAGGTTGACGGAGGAGATGGTACGTATGCGTTGGGAATGACTGAGCGGTTCAATGTACTTGACGCCAGTGGACTACCATCCGGCATCGAAGCAGCGATGGTCAGCCGTACGGTCAGGCCAGACGCCTGAAACGAATATTCGTTATAAACACCCGTTCGATTCATTTTGAGAGTCCCATATAGCGTATCTACAGCAATAGGAGGAAACAGTAAAAGACAGACTCTTGAAGGCTTCGCTTGAAAAATCTAAACTCGTCTAAGTCAGAGACTAGTTTCCAATTAAGGTTCCATTTGGCCCCCGCCTTGTTTGCCTCACATACCAATAAGTGAACCAGACAGACAGACAGTAAGCATAAAACGAAGAACAAGTTCAGGTTAGGATTATCTATGTGAAAACAATTTCCACCCGTCGTTTGAGTACCGCTATTCGTGGGCAGGTTACTGTTAACCAGTAGTGTGCAAGGAGGAAGGAAAGGAAATTCGAACCCAACAGTTGCCTTTAATAATCAGTAATCACTCTTGAGAAGCAACTCACCTTGATGAGATTGACTATCTCCCCATGCGTCAAATTCAGGATATCAATTCCATTCACTGCTACCACTCGATCGCCAACTTTCAAACGTCCGCATTTCTCGGCAGGTGAATTCTCGAGAATTTGGCCTGGAAGTTTGAATATTAAGCTGAAACTCCGAAAAATGTCGGTTGTTGAGTCGAATCCACTGCATACAAAATGAGTGAATATGGAAACAGCTGCACATTCCATCACTCACACACCACTGTGTTTGTATCAACCCCACAAGTCTAGCACTGCTCACCAGGAAGGTCTTTCAGGGCGTGACAAGCTTTTTGAAAACGGTCTTTTGCATGATATAGGGGCAGATGCGGGAACCACAGAACCATGGTTAATTTTTCCTGAACGGCCCTCTGAATACCAGAAAAGGGGTCCCTAGTTCGATTCCTCGTGGTGACAAATTTTTGCATTTCGAGTTGACGTTCCAAAATTCGCGCAAAATGGAGTTAGCATGAATAATTAGTACCATATTCATGATTAGGACCGTCAGTAACCCTTACAAATAGACTTTGATTAAAAAAACTGGTGAAAAAGGTGTGACACCACAGTGGGGCTGCTTGGTGTCACACCTCTTACACCAATTTTTAAGTCAAAGTCTTTTTGTAAGGGTTACTGACGGTCCTAATCATGAATATGGTACTAATTATTCATGCTAACTCCATTTTGCGCGAATTTTGGAACGTCAACTCGAAATGCAAAAATTTGTCACCGAGAAATCGAACTAGGGACCCCCTTTTCTATTCAGAGGGCCGTTCAGGAAAAATTAACCATGGTTCTGTGGTTCCCGCATGTGCCCCTATATCATGCAAAAGACCGTTTTCAAAAACCTTGGCACGCCCTGAAAGACCTTCCTGATCAGCGCATGAAAAGTCTCGCCAAATAAGTCCGAGTTTT